AGAAGTAAACTTTGCTCTTGGACACGTGCAGAGTGCTTCCCCTCTCCACCGAGTGACCCAGTGGCATACTCATCTGGAAACGGAGCTTCCCGGGGTATCCGTACGTTCATGCCAGCCACAGAGTCTGTTTATGTTGGGCCAGATCATGCAGGCACAGCGCGCAAGCTTTCGATCCACACAGAGTTGTGCTTCAGGAAGGAAAACATTTTCATGGGCAGCCCCCTAAACACACGCCCTGTTTTATCCCAGCGCTAATCTAATTGCTCCAGGCTTAAGATCGCCTGCGCAGTTTGCTCCCGCAATAGTTATCAAGTTTTGTGTGTCTCCAGAAAATGGTGCTCATGGCAAACCCCTCCTTCTTCTGATTACCTTGTTCATTGACTGGTTTGGTGAAGATTTGAGAGAACCTTAGACCAGCTGATCTTTTTTTCCTGTGAACCAGGCTTTGTGGTTACGTTTGAAATCTCGGTGGCATCTAACCAAAGGGTAAAAATGGCAAAGGCTTACAAGAAACACAAGACTCTGCCACAGGAATGAAAATGCTGCATTTCCCACCCCTGGTTCCCATTACACACACACACACACACACACACACACACACACACACACACACACACAGAGAGAGAGAGAGACACAGAGAGAGAGACAGAGAGAGAGACAGAGAGTAAAGTAAGAGCAAAGTTTCTGCTCTCTCATGCTTGAGAAGAAAAAGTGAAGTTGATTTTTTATTTTTTACAAAAACTATTATTGCTTGGTTGATGCATTTCCTAGGAAAAACAGAACTTGCTGACTCCTTTCCATATTGCAGATTGCAAGGTCAGCCAGTGTGGTTATCCCATTTTGTAGTCTCTCTCTCTCTCTCTCTCTCTCTCTCTCTCTCTGTGTGTGTGTGTGTGTAGTAAGAGTGATGTCCTACAACCTTGTAAGGTAGTCCAGTTTTCCCAGCACAGACTCGAGTGTGGGTTACAACCATCCTGTATTACAACTGCTCTGGTTCAGACGGTGGCAGGCCTTGGTCTAAGGTGACGTAGCACCCATTTCAATAAATGACTCCAAAACTCTTTGATCTTTAAGGGGGAAAAAACAGGTCTGGCACCACAGAGCTTCCCCGCTTGGTGCCTTCCAGGTGTTTCAGATTACAACTCCCACACTATTCCCCCCCCCATCCAGAAAGCATCAGGTGGAGAGTGAATGGAATTGTTGTTCAGTCGTTAAGTCGTGTCCGACACTTTGTGCCCCATGGACCAGAGCACGCCAGGCCCTCCTGTCTTCCACGGCCTCCCGGAGTTTGGTCAAATTCATGTTGGTCGCTTTGATGACCCTGTCCAGCCATCTCGTCCTCTGTCGTCCCCTTCTCCTCCTCTTGCCTTCACACTTTCCCAACATCAGGATCTTTTCTAGGGAGTCTTCTCTTCTCATGAGATGGCCAAAGTATGGGAGCCTCAGCTTCAGGATCTGACCTTCCAGGGAGCTGAGGCTCCAATAGTGAATGGAATAGCCTGGACATACTGTTCCTGGGATGGAGAACTATTCCATAATCGGGTCTGGTGGGTACTGCAAGTGGCCCACTAAGCACCCGCTGTGCCCAAATCCGTTTGAATCTCTGAATGTAGAAAAATATGACAGTGCTGGCACTGCACAGAGGCTCTTTAAAATGAATTCATTCCAACTCCTGCAAGGATGAGGGCAAGCCAGAATGAGTGGTTCCCTAAGCATTCTGTAATTTGCATTAATCATAATACTGTACCGGTATCGGCACAGCTCACATGCTGGGATAAAACTGCAGAGACGTTAAGTGGGAAAGGAAAGAAAGCTGCAGGATCATTGAAGCGGGATGTTTCGGACTGCAGCTCCCATAACCAGTGGCCGCAAGGTATGGTAGATGGGAAGGACGCTAGTTTGCATGAAGGAAAATCTTAAGGTGAACTGCCAGAACAGCTGCTAAAACGACAGCTCTGAGGCAGCCTGCTTCTTTCCTAACTGACATTTCAGAAAGACCTGCCTGGCGAAATTCATCCGGCCAAGAATTTGGGGACTCTATCTCCAAGAGTCATAATACCAAAAGCTAAACTTATAGCCACTGGTCCCATCACCTCCTGGCAAACAGAAGGAGAAGATATGGAGGCAGTGACAGAGTTTACCACCTTGGCTCCATGATCACTGCAGATGGTGCCAGCAGCCATGAAATTAAAAGACGCCTGCTTCTTGGGAGGAGAGCGATGACAAGCCTTGACAGCATCTTAAAAAGCAGAAACATCAACTTGCTGACAAAGGTCCACATCGTCAAAGCTATGGGTTTTCCAGTAGTGATGTATGGAAGTGAGAGCTAGACTATAAAGAAGGCTGACTGCCGAAGAATTAGTGGTGCTGGAGGAGGCTCTTGAGAGTCCCCTGGACTGCAAGGAGATCAAACCTATCCATTCTGAAGGAAATCAACCCTGAGTGCTCCCTGGAAGGACAGATCCTGAAGCTGAGGCTCCAATCCTTTGGCCATCTCATGAGAAGACTCCTTGGGAAAGACTGTGATGTTGGGAAAGTGTGAAGGCAAGAGGAGAAGGGGACAACAGAGGACGAGATGGATGGACAGGGTCATCGAAGCAACCAACATGAATTTGACCCAACTCGGGGAGGCAGTGGAAGACAGGAGGGCCTGCCGTGCTCTCTGGTCCATGGGGTCACGAAGAGCCGGACACGGCTTAACGATTGAACAACAACAACCTCCAAGAGTAACTTTCCTGGCAAAAATCTCTTTTGCCAAGAACTTTTGGACTTTTAAAGTCTTCATGCAGGTGCACACTGGACAAAGTGGTCTGGATCCACAGAAGCTTGCCTATTACTGTATATGATTTATTTATTTATTTATTTATTTGTGCATAAAAATATCTCCTACTGTTGCATCTGCTGAAACAATGCAACGCCACTTAAAAGCCCCCAGAAGGGTTTCCACAACACCAGAAATTCCCAGGTCGGGTGGAAACGAAAGGTCA